CAAGGACTGTTACAACCTGGCCAGAAAATGCTCTCAACAAATTACAAGACTGCTTCACAGAGACAGACTGGGACATATTTGAACACCAGGACCTAGAAACTTTCACAGGATCAGTACTGGACTACATCAAGTTCTGTACTGCAAATGTGACAGTGGACAAAATCATTCGGGTTTTTCCAAATGAAAAACCCTGGATGACCAGCGAGGTCCGCTCACTCCTCAAAGCCCGTGATGCTGCCTTCAGGTCAGGTGACAGAGCTCTGCACAGGACTGCCCGAGCTAACCTGAAAAGGGGGATTAAAAATGCCAAGTCAGACCACAAAAGGAATATCGAGTCCCACCTGTCCAGCAACAACACACGAGAGGTATGGCAGGGAATGCGAGACATCACCAACGACAGAAGCAGCACTACAAAAACTGAAAACCTGAGTGTGCAGCTGGCAGAGGAAATAAACAGCTTCTTTGCCCGCTTTGAAACACCACAGCAGCAACACTCATCTGTTTCAGCCCTGCTCCCATCCTCATCCTCACCTGGTTCTTACACCGCTCCACTCACTGTAACGGAGCACGATGTCAGACGTGTGCTCCTAGCAGTGAACCCCAGGAAGGCGGCCGGTCCAGACGGAGTACCTGGTAAAGTACTAAGAGCATGCACACACCAGCTCAGCCTCATCTTCACCAGACTCTTCAACCTCTCACTGGAACAGGCAGCCATCCCGTCCTGTCTAAAATCAGCCACAATCATCCCAGTACCGAAGAAGTCTCCCATCTCCAGCTTAAATGATTACCGCCCTGTGGCCCTCACACCGGTAATCATGAAATGCTTTGAGAGACTACTCCTTCAGCACATAAAGGATCACCTCCCCCCAGAATTCGACCCCTACCAGTTTGCATACCGTGCAAACAGATCTCATATATATATATATATATATATATATATATATATATATATATATATATAGCCATGCCCTGATGTGGGGGCTGGGGGGGTGTCGACATGGTCGGGACATAGAAGGGGGTGCACGGCTAAATAAGTTTGGGAACCACTGATTTAGGTCATCACATATTTCCAGGCAGTTACAGCCAATCACGGCCCATAACATGATAATTCATACGATCCAAAAGCAAAGCATTATCAGGATGTTAGACTCCCTCTGCATTGATTTTCTTTAGCAGAAGCACTAGCTGCCTTGTAAGTCCTGAAACATTTCCCGTCTTTGGCCTCCATGACCTTCTTCCAGACAGAGAGGGCTCTTCCATTCCAAGATGATACTAAGCATAGCCTACACTTAAAGTCAACTTGCCCCAAAATAGACTGTTGAGCTGCTGCAGCAATGCTGGTGGACCTCAGTTATCTATATCACCACCTAACGAGTCAGCACATTCCTGCCGGTTGCATCTGCACCAACGCAGAGAGCCTTCAGCTGTGGAGTCCACATGTGCTGCATGTAGATGGGTTTTATAGACAACTAAACCACTGACATTTCACATGCCATCTATTGTGCACTATTTAGGAAACAAGCTATTTATGCAAAACAAATTGGGTGTAATTACAGAGCAGCTTCATGTCCACCACACCCTTTCAAAGCATGGTTCCACTAATTTTGGCTCAGTTTTATTTAGCACATTTTTACATTTAGAGTCATTTCTTTTAGTCTTCAGTCAAGTCTCCAGCTGGTGCATGTATTTTTCTCCCTCTACAGATCAGATTAGTTCTGATTTGCTCATCTAAAATGGATCAAATCTAAATGTGTGTCTGCTGCTGCAAATAGGATGCGGGTGCAACTCCACGTCCATCTAACGACAGCAGAAAGTCACAAATAGGTCTGTGTTTGCATAGAGAGCCGCCAACTCGTTATACGTGTCAAAACAGCATTTCTACAGCTCAAAGGGACACAACTTCTAAACATGAAGTGTTCCACCAGGCATTACCGCTGTGACACAGACACGTGTTGAACATAATAACTGAGGTAAAAGTGACCCAGACTTCTGTATTGACAAAGTCTTTGCTCATGCCTGAGTGTTTCCACACATCTAATGAACCACTGGATGATTTTTAATGACACTTTCAGACAAAAATCCTCAGATGTTCATCTGCAAGCATTTACCTTTTTGAGCCGACCCTGTTCAATATGGCCGACTCAGCTAACTGATTTTAGCAAACCCAGAAAGTGACAGTTAATCTGAAATCTGAAATAGGGGATCAAACCGTTTGATAAATATTTATTCTTTAAATTTCTTCTCACTTATAAATGTTTTTTAGTCATTTGTTTATTGTGTTTACGATATTCAGTGTGTTATTCTCTATATCACACCTGAAGTTATGGGAAGATGCATATGATGAGAACTTTATTGTAGTTTGTGACATGACAGTAAATTCCTTTTTGAAAAAGTTCTAATTAAAGTTGTTATCGGGCTAAAACTTTGTATAAAAGGGTTATAACTAAATCTAAATGAACTGAACTAAATCTGTTGTTTAGAGGACATGTTGGACAACTGACCTTTCACCAGCCCCGCCCCCAAAACAGCCATTGTCCAATCACACATCATAGCAACTTTTACTGTGTGAGGAGGTCCGACAATTTCAAGCAAGATGGATAGCGTTGTGCCCACGGCGTCTGTAAGTCGGACAGTCGATACCCAAAGAGATTGTCTGGAGGAGCTGTGTTCCATTCATTCCCAAAGACGAAAAAATTTGGTTACGTCTTGTAACCCCAGATTCTGTGAGTATGGCGGAGCCCTTTATGCCTCGCCTATTGGGAGTTAGTCCTTGACAACAACCTATGACTGAAGAGCTTTAATGTACGCCCGCCTATTAGGTGGGCCGTTGTCCTATAAGAGAGGTGCGAGGACCAAGGATCATCTCCAAAAGTTCAAAGAACCCCAGAACCAGTGGGCCTCGATGCTAAAAGGGCTCCGGCATACTCATAGAATCTGGGGTCACAAAACATAACCAGCGTTCTATGTCGTATGGCTCTGCCTTTTAAGCCTCACCTATTGGGTTAAAGGCAGAGCATGATGTAGTAAACGCCCACTGGTTAAGTAACAAGGAATAAGTGAGCCCATAACATCCTTACACAGCTGCCAGCGGGCGTAAGACAAGGATGAGCAGCTGTAAGGATAAAGCCTGCCGCACATGAGAGCAATCGGCTGAGCTAATGGCCTCGAATGACCATTTGCTCAGCAAATTGCTCGCCGTGTGCACCTGATTTTCACTGAGTTTTCTGCCTCACAAGACGCTGAGCCGAATATCTGACCATTCAGATATTTTCCGCCTCACGGGTAGGGATGGGTACCTTTGACATTTGAATCGATTCGGTACTAATTCCTGGTACCTAGGAATCGATACCGGTACTTAACGGTACCAATTTTCGATACTTTTGAGTGTTTATTATTTTAATTCTCTTTTATAATTAAATATATATTTTTCTCAATATATAACAATATTTGATAAATATCATGATAAATTACATACAACAGTTTGTATTTTAACATCGTCCTTGTAGTTTTATAAGCTGATAATTAAACTGAAGTAAACATCTTCACTGTGAACTAAATTTACTGTGTATCTTCATTCCTTTTGCCATCTCCTTTCATTTGATTTTTCCTACTGGGAAGTTAGAATTTCCGAGGAGAAAGCGAACGCACCATTAGCTGATAACAACGGTGGCAATGGAAGCTAACATATCAAGCTAACGTTATCTTAAACAGTTTATTTAACTGCTGGAGCAGATTAAGATGAGGATGTCTCACTTAGATCATTGTCGCTGGGACAGGGACCGACGACATAACGCGCATGCGCAGTTGTCTAGGCAAGTTCTCGTTATGATGGACGGGTACCGAAACGAGGCACCGTTTGAAATGACGTGAATCGGTGCTCGGTCGGTACTATGGAATTTGGTCGGTACCTTAAAAAGTACTGAATTCGGTACCCATCCCTACTCACGGGGGGTAGAAACTCAGTGTGTGCGCACTACTGAGCTGCCGGCTGAGCTGCTGGCTGAGCTGAAACATTCTAGTGGCCAATCAAATCGCGTTCTATGCTCACATGACCCCAAGATGTATTCAGATGCAGCCTCCTGCCCTGTCTGTGTGTCTGAAAAATAAACAAAACGGTACCTTGCGGATCGATCGGCCCACTGTTTCCATTACCCTCTCGAAGGATCCGGGCGGCGGTACTGTCGGAAGGATTCTGGGTCTTCCAGGTGCATCTCTTGGAGTAAATTGGCATTAACTCCTTGCCTGGCCCATCTTTCAAGCCACCGTACCCATACTTTCCTAACCTTGAAATGTCGGTGGCGGCGATGCTTCATCAACAAAAAAAAGTAGAGGCATTTCCTCCATTTCCAGCTCTGTCTCCTTTTTGTTTATTTTCCGGCATGCAGACAGGGGGCTGCCATCTTGGAATCATGTGATCAGAGAACGTTCTTTAATTGGCTACTAGAAAAGTTCAGCTCAGCCAGCAGCTAATGTAGTGCGCACACGACGAGTTTCTACCCCCCCATGAGGCAAAAAATATCTGACTGGTCAAATATTCAGCTCAACGTCTCGTGAGGCGGAAAACTCAGTGAAAATCAGGCGCACACGGCGAGCAATCGGCTGAGCAAATGGTCTTTTGAGGCATTAGCTCAGCCGAATGCTCTCGTGTGCGCAAGGCTAAAGACGCCGTGCCAGAAGGGGGCAGGAGGGGTCGCCCAGAGGTCGCCTGGTAATAAGCCAGGGAGCAATGGTAAGATATGAAGGAACACCAACACCAGAATACAATGGGTGTAGAACAGCAGGGATTAACTGAGGAAGAGACTCATTAACACATCCCTGATAACACCGAAGAACACTGGGTGTTAACATCAGCTGCTAAAAATAACATGAGAGAACAGCAGGCGATAATGGAGAGACAACTCATTAACATACCCCTGACAATTGTAGCATCTCATGCAGAGAGGGGGAGACAGATACTGAGCTGATGACATTAACAGATAGAAATCAGACTGATACATTACCAAGCACTGCGCTGGAAGCAGATGTGCTGGGCATGTCTTTCAGGTAGAACCTCACAAAGGAGCAGGGTGAAGCTGCTAAACAAATGTCAGCAACAGATGTTCCTCCTTGGAGTGCCACAGAAGAAGATACACTCCTTGTCGAGTGAGCCTTCAACTTTTCTGGTGGTTCCAACCCTGAAGAGACAAATGTGAGCGAGATGGCATCACATAACCAGTGAGACAGGCGCTGTGAAGACAGGGACTGTCCAAGGGAGTTATCCCTATAATGTACAAACTGGTGATCCGAGCAGCGAAAGGCGGCGGTGCGAGAGACATAGCGTCTGAGGGCGTGCACTGGGCACAGCAGATGAGATGCCGCTTCCTTCTCCGAACTGTGAGGAGGGGGGAAGAACCCATCCAGTGTAATGGATCTGGATCTGAAGGAACTGGTAAGGCTCTTAGGGGTGAATGCTGGGATGGGGCACAAAACAGCCGAACCCCCGTCATCCCGAATCCTGAGGCAGGTTGGGGCCACAGACAGAGCAGCCAGGTCGCTCACTCTCTTAAATGAAGTCAGAGCCAGCAAGAGGGCTGTTTTAAGAGATAAAATTTTCAGCGAGACCTGGTCCAGCAGTTCAAATGGGGCCAATGCCAGTCCGCGTTAGACCACGACCAAGTCCCACTGAGGGACTATTGAACGTTGTACAGGTCTGAGGCATCTCACGCCTTTCAGAAAGCGTTTGGTAAGGGAGTGGCTGAAAACAGACCTATCCCCGAACCCTTGGTGACATGAAGAAACAGCAGCCGCATATGACTTAACAGTGCTGAAAGCCAGACCCTTGTTCATCACCATCTGTAAAAATGACAACACGCTGGCCAAAGGGCATGATAGCGGGTCCACATGCTGTTCCTGGCACCAACGCTGGAAGGCAGCCCACTTAGCAGAGTAAGATGCTACAGTGGAGGAGGGCGAGAAGAATGAATGAATGGTTCGAACCACATCAGAAGTCAGGTCTGATGCTTCCAGACGAGACCGTTCAGCGGCCAAACCCACAGGTGCTGACCCAGAACAGGGGGCTGTGTTATCTCCCCTCCCACCTGCAGGAGCACATCTTCCTTCCAGGGAAGCTTCCAGGGGCGTGCAGCCAACAGTGGCTGCAAATCTGGAAACCAGGATGCTGAGCTGCGATGGGGAGCCACCAAAATCACTGAGAGCCTTTCTGATCTGATCCGGTCCAGGAGCCGGGGGATCAGAGGGATTGGAGGAAATGCGTAAAGTAAAAGTCTGGGCCAGGGTTTGAGAACGAAGGCGTCCACTCCCAGAGGTGGATGATCTCATGGTCTGAGAGAAAACCACAGGGGGCATTGTGCGTTCTAGTGAGACGCAAACAGGTCCACGGCCGCCTGTCCGAACCTGGTCCAGATCTGAGAGATCAGGTCAGGACGGAGACGCCACTATTAGTGACGTAGACCCCCTCTGGACATAATAACCGCACCCATATTCAGGATCTCCGGAATGTAGACAGCTCTGATTGACAGGAGGTTGGCATGAACCCAGCACAGCAACTTCCCGGCCACGTTCAGGAGTGAGGCTGAGCGAGTCCCGCCATGGCGATTTATGTATGCTGTGGCGACTTGGTTGTCTGTGTGAATCAGTACATGTTGGCCCCGGAGGAGGGGGGCAAATTTTAATATCACATTCTGCACCGACATGAGTTCCAGAACGTTTATGTGGGCATCCGGGGGGGGGGGGGGGGGCAGGGCACACTGACTGCCCACAGAATGGGATAAGCACGTGCCCCTATTTGTAATTTATAACGCAGCTGATGCCGAGCTCCCTGGGGAAGGAGGCGTGTGGGCATGAATCCTGACAGCGTGTGACTGTGGTGCTGAGCAAGATTAGGATGAATGGGTCGCTTGAGCGGCACCGACAAGTGCGGAATGTGCTGCCGCGCGTCAGCCGCATGTGGAAGTGGCCCAGAGCGCGAGGGGTGGAAATCAGAAATGACAGCTCGCTTTGGTGGCCGCAGTGAATGTACAAAAAGTGTCATCGTGCTGGTTTACATCACATACAGCGGGGAGAAAGCTCCGTTTGGAGGCAGAGCACGCACACACTGAGCTCTCTGAGCTGTTGTGTAATGATACGGTCCTCCTCCTAACCCTAACCCAAACCTCCGTACGGAGTAAGCGGGGTGGAGGAGACCGGTAATGACTTAACCCTAACTTGTGACGTGTTTGGGGGAAGGAGTTGTGCTTGGTGTGGGAAACGAATGGAAAAACAGCAGACGGTTCATTCGAGCTGGCCGCAGAGGGCTGTGACAGGATGTTGCTCTTTAAGCGGTTTAAATGATTTATTTCAAAACAGGATTTGTTACAACCACCATGAACATCACACACATTTCCCCCAGGAAGTCATTTCTTTTGATTCTTCTTGTGCACATCTTGGGACTGCCAGGTCCAGGTTGGAGCAAGAGGTCGGTTCCCAGATGAGGTTGCAGATGAGGTTCTTAGGCTCATCAGGCAGATCACACGTCTCCGCCGACTTGGAGATGCCATAGGCGATTAGGGCAATGTTGTTTGAGGCTGCGCCGATCTGTGCAGCGCACTGATGAGAGCGGTCAGCGAACCGAGTCAGAAGCTGCTCCTTCTCGATGGCGGGAACCGCACGCCGGCCTACCATCTTGACCTTGGCTCCGAGCAGGGAAGCCAAGTGGGGCTCCAAGGGTGAGACAGCCAGGAAGCCATGTTTGGAAAGGTGCTCCACCTTGGTGATGGAAGTGTAAGAAGAGACAGGAACCCTGAGCCGGGCGGGCTCCACCTGCCGTACCAGTAGTCCATAGCTGCCGGGAACTGAGGAAAAACTGGGTCGGGGCAGCGGGCTTGGTTCGCGCCAAACTGGTCTGTTAAGTCATCCGACTTAGGAGGGGCAGGAGTGGGGACGGTTAACCCTTTGTAGTCTGCCGCTGCTGAAATAATGGCGGGCAGCTCAGCAAAAGGCTAATTGCAGTAAAACATGTCAGAAGACCAGGAAATGCAATTGTAGTGTTTGTTTAAAAAGTGAAAGATTGGCTTAATTACACAGCTGGTTGATCTCTTCCAGTGAAAGTCCCAGAAAGCATGTGAAGAGTCTGCACAGATTCACTATCGCCAGGAATAAAACAAAAAAGGATTCAAACAGCAGAAAGTTTTTGTCCAGGCTCCGTTACATCAGACAAACCACTCCTAGAGTCAAAACATGAAGCAGCAACAACAGAGATGAATTAGAGGAGACCTTCGAGCGTTTCACACAGTTTAGCGATCACTCGGAACAACAGCAGCAGGTCCAGACAGACTGGATGGCTCCGTGGCCGTGAACAAAGCAGAAGGCCCTGTGGGGGTTGCTGCCATAGTGACCTCCCACTGGACCTTGTGCATTAACAGACTCAAAGTGACAAGAAAGTTAGCTTCATGTAAAACACTGAGATCAACCTCAGATCTGATGCTTGTGTTAGGACTGGGACCATATTTGAAGGTTTTAAACAGATAACTATTTCTCTGCTCGCCTTTTCTGTGATTCAGTCTCTGAAGGTTGATGTGGCGACAGAACTAGATGAGCCATCCAGTGAATTTGATGCTTTAATCTTTATCAGGTCATACACACTATCTCTGGCATCCATGAAGATTTACAGACTCAAACTTTCAAAAATGTTCTTTTGCTCTTCTCATTGGTAGAGTATACTGAATGTAATATGAAACAGACAAAAGCACCAAGACTAGATGTTTAACTCAGGAAACAATGTTCTGTGACTGCTTCCAGTCCAAGTTCACCTCGCTTATCCCCTCAGCTCTCAGCTGTTGTCTCCTGTCAGACATGAGTCATTTCTAGTGTTTAAGTCACTGCCGATATCTCCTCTAATCACGCAGCTCATTTTAACAAGATCTTCCTGCCACACTTGTCTCTACAGTTGGCTTGTGAGCCGTGACCCGGGGCTTAGAATTAGCCACTTATACCAGCTGCTGCATGCCTGCACATCATTACATTTAAGTATGTCTATAACTTAAGCCTTAAGAGGTTTAGGAACCCATTTAATTCCATTATCATCATTGTTTTGGGCTGCAGCGGAGCATCTAAGCCCACAAACCCAATCCAGGAATCACAGAACCAAAAGGAGACTGGATTGTGTGTTTTTATGTGGTTAATAAGCTTGGCAGCAATTGCATCAACTGGTTCCAGCACATGTAAACAACGCTGTTGTGACTCCCTTTCACTTTGATCTATGCTGCTCACAAGCAACTATAATCACTTTCTGTTTGCATTGTAGAAGCCTCCCAGTAGGCAGGTTAAACAAGTCTGCAGCTCAACAGAGCCCTTCCTTTGTGAAAAATTACAAAGATTCAGAAATCCTGTGTTTGGATAAGGCAAGACCCTAAAGCACATGAGTGTAACCCACAGACTGTGAGACCCCCACTACTGGAGATGGTGTGTAGTCCGGGATCTAACATTAAAAGGAACCCAGGTTGCAAAACTTTGTGGTTCTTAAAAGATAAATGTTAGTATCGGTTGTATTAAAGTGGTGTAAAAAAACCTTCATGATGTCTTCATTTGTATAAAAGTAAAAAATATTTCAACTCGTAGGTCGCCATTGTTGTTAGCGTCGCAATGCACTCTGGGTAGTGACGTCACATGGTTGTACCTCGGTTGCACCGGCTGGCTTTGGAACCCTGTTCAGCGACATCAACATGTCATCTGTTCAGCCTTTTCAATTTGAACCAGAGTAAAACATTAATGAGGTCATCACTGACTAGGGCTGCACAATATATCGAAAAATTATCGTCATCGTGATAGCAGGACGTGCAATAGGCCCATCGCAAAGCACGTCAAAAACGGCGATAAATGTTTGGTTCAACATTTCCATCCGTGTCAAACATCACCTTTTTGTGAACCAGCTCTGTTTTTTACGCGGAAGTATTATTTGACCAATCAAATGTAGCCCTTCTGATATGCGGCCAATCAGATGGGTCCGTTCACGTAATACGCCCGCCCCCTACATAGACTCTTAGGATGGAAAACAACACCCGAACATTAGTGGCACCGTTCCCTTGTTCGTCATGCTGGCTCAGAGCAACGAACGCACTTTGTGCTGATGTTTCTGGAATCAGCGCTGCTTTCAAATGTGAGTCCGCTCGGTGTCGGTAATCATTTTTACCGGGCTGAC